GACTGTTTTATGTAGACCTGACCTTTCCATATCCTGCTTTCTTTGCGGAGATCTTTATGGAGAAGAGAGAGGATGGTGTGTGTATGTAATGGAGAAGAGAGAGAGGATGGGTGTGTGCAATGGAGAAAAGACAGGAGGGGGGTGTGTGATTGCATGTGTTGTGGAGGAGAGAGAGAATGGGGGAGTGTGTGTTTGTGTGTGTTATGAAAGAGAGAGAGGATGGGTGTGTGTATGCGACTGGAACTGCCTGAGAGAGAAGCTGAAGGTCCCATGTGAAGTCTTTACTTGTGGTTTAGTGGGAAACCCCTGCCTACCTTATCCATTCTTTTCTATTCTATTCTGACCTGACTTGTGTCCTGCTGAGGGAGCTCAGTGTAGCAACCCAGGGAGATTAAATTCAGATCCCAACATGGTCCACCATGCCAAGCCCCCTCAACCCCTCACAGCCACTCAGTGACTGAGGCCAATCCTTGCCTTCCCCTTTCTGGCCTGGGGCCTGACACTTAATGGGAAATGTAGACACCTATTCCACAATTGGGAAATCAAAGAGAGTCTGCGTTGTGATTGTGGTGCAATTTTTTCAGACAGTGCAACACATCGTGAATGATTGCCCAATTAGATCATTTAATGGCAATCTAAATCAATCCATGCAGCTACCCTTGAAGCAGTCCAATAGTTTTCACATTTAGATATTAATCTACAAATGTTGTAATCCTAAAATGTCATACAAAAGAGAGAGAAAGAGTGAAAACTGTTGGCAGTCCCAATTCCTCTTGCTTTCCCTGCGGCAGGTCAGTCAGGGTGTCAGGTCTGTGTGGTGTCAGGGTGGATGGCAGTCTGCAGGGTGCAGCACAGAGCAGCATTTCTCAATCTGTGGGTCACGACTCAAAAGCGGGTCGCAAGAATATATGACAGGGCCACAAATAAACTTTTAAAATGGATTCTTCTTTAAAGGAGAAAAACGTGGGAAACCATGGCTTTTCCTTTGCAAGCTGGCAGATCTCCAGCTGCTGGCAGCCCCACATGCTCCACACACCCTCTTCCTGCCCCAGGGTTTGAATTATGCGGGGAGCTTGGATGGGCTCCCCCCATTAAGAGATGACAGCACCTCTGTAAGATTTGAAAATCATAACCTAGGGGTGGTCTGCGATTTTATTGTGATGGGCAACTCAGTTTTTTTTGCAGACCCCCCAAGAGTCGAAGTGTTGTTCGAACCCTGCCCTGCCCCACACACTGGGGGGCTGGAGCCTGGGGGCAGCAGGTCAGGAGTGAGGGGCACACACAGATTCACAGAAGTTTAGGGCTGGAAGGGACCTCATGAGATCGTTGGGTCCAGCCCCCCTGCTCTGCTGCGGTCAAGTAACTCCAGCAAGGTGTGTGTCCAGTCTCCTTTGGGACTCCTCAGCCTGGAGAAGTGAAGGCTCAGGGGGGACTTGGTGCAGCCCATAAATACATAAGGGGGGTGCATCAGGAACTGGGAGAACAGTTGTTTGCCAGTGCCCCCCAAGGTCTAATGGCCACAAACTCCTGGAAGGCCAATTTAGACTGGACATAAGGAAAAACTTCTTTACCGTCTGAGTGTCCAGGGTCGGGAACAGACTCCCCGCCCCGAGGTGGTGCAAGCACCTACTCGGGACTTATTCAGAAAATACCTGGATGCTTATCTTGGTGGGACCATTTGATCCCGGCCGTCTTTCCCGCCCAGAGCAGGGGGGCTGGACCCACTGACCTCGCGAGGTCCCTTCCAGCCCTACTGTCTCTGAAATCTATAAATATCTCCAGGGCAGGTGCCGGCTGGCGGGGCCTGGCCGTGGGTGTCTACAAACGGGGCCCGGGACAAAAAAACGTCCTCAAAGGGGAAACTGGGCGCGCACTTCCCTGGGCTTATTCGACCCCGGCTGTCTTTCCTGCCCAGAGCAGGGGGCTGGCCCCGATGATCCTCCAGCCCAAAACCGCGGCGGATGAGTGAGCGGCGCGGACCGGGGATGCTGGCACAGCCCCCCGCTCCCGCGCCCGCGCCCGCGCCCGAGCCGCGTGCGT